ACACAAGTCCAAGACCATGACCAGTCGAGAACGAGTCAAGATCAAGTCCAAATAAAAGCAAGATCGAGTCAAGACCAAGTCCAAATGAAAGCAACTTTTGTGGAACACTTTACTGCCAGGTTCATTGCCGTCCAATCAGATTTTGGAAACATGCTTTTTCAGACCGTAAACCAGCCTTCCTATCTAATCATTTCACTAACCAATTTAACTCTGATTAGCTAAATTAAACTACACATATTATTAGCTAGCTAAGTAGGTGCAAATGTTAGTTTTAATGTTAGTTAGCAACAGTTAGTAAAACAGTAGACTAAACATCATGCGAGGCTGTCAAATTCAGTAAAAACCCATTTACATGGAACAGACATGTATGAACAAATGTTTGAGTTAGGGTTAGTTTGTACATTGTGTAGCCAGATTTGACTAGATACCTCTGCGACAGAATGCTTTAAATTATCTCAGATTAAACAGGCTAAGTAACAGCACTTGACCTAGGCTACTTCTTGAGGTATAACTAAATTGTAATGCATTATGAAATAGCAGAAAAGAACCAAACAATACTTACAGGGTGGTTGAATGATAGGAGGAGAACCATTTAAATGTGCAGTGGCAAAAAGACTCAAGTACTATAGACCTACTGCTTGGCTTAGCACAGCTGATAGCCTTTTAAGAGCTGTGTCTTGTGTTTCTCTCTAGCAATGTGTTAGTAAGCTCACAAAACATCTTTTGCCTGGTTTATCTTTCCAGCCTACCAGCAAGCCTAAGAATCCTTTTCTTTATTTATTACTTTTGTTTATTATGCTGACAAGCGTGTAGGAGAGGGTGCTATTTCTTTTGAACTTGAACATTGTTTTCTCCTGTTTTGGTCTAGTTAGGGACTTAGGGAAGATTGGATTTTTTTGGTTAGTTGGCTTCATTTGTTGCTTTGGCATTTATCCACTCTGACATCCGTCTGCTGTTGGTAAATAGAAACTTGTCTTGTAAAGTCTACATCAAACAGCAGAAAAGAAACAACTGGACCTGATCTGCTTAAGTGCTGTCTTGGTCTCTCTTTTCTTTTATTTATGTTATGACTTTCGCACAACTTCTAGACTAAATACTTTATAAGCTCATGACTAGTCAATTATGAAGTGCTTTTGCAGTTAAAGTCACTATTATAAATGAAGCCACTCCTCCTCCTTGTCTGTCTGTTTTACTGTATGCATAAATCTGTTTTCAGGAGCAAGTAGAATTGCTGTGCCGTTATCACTAAGCCATGTTTCTGAGAGAAACATAAAATCTAACTTATGCACTTTCATAAGATCTTGAATCAGCAGTGTTTTGTGTTTTAGTGACCTTACGTTGAGTAGGTTTAATTTTGCGCTTACTACACTATGTGTTTGAGGGGGACTGGTCTTTTTAAGGTCCCCGTGAATTAAATGACAGGGGTTTTGACTGTGCACGTTTTCCTTTGATTTTTTTAACTACACAGGCTTTGATGACTCTAATGACATTTTTGGAGCAACTTCTCCCTTCATAGCTAGCAGAAGCTTTAGTATTAAAACAGCAGAGAGAAAGGGGGATGGTAGAAATGGAGGAGGCATTGTTTATATCATAGAAAGCACTTATCTCTCTGCTGTTTATACTACTTATCTGTCCGTAATTTACTACCATTAAGTTCAGTCAGGCCTGGTGCAGTACTTTCTCTATGTTCTCAGACAGGATGGCAGACCCATGGTGGCTCGAGTTTAGTCCATTCCTGCTGTAAAGTGCCTGTTGCTCCCAGAAAACACTCCAGTTGCTTACATAGCCAATGCCATTGTTCTTACACCAGCCTTGGAGCCAGCAGTGCAGTGCATAGAGCCTGCTTCCTCTCCAGTAAGTGGGCAGTGGTCCCGAGATGATGATCCTGGCCTTGGTTCACTTCTTAACGGTGTCTAGAAGTAATGTGAAATACTCCTTGAGGACTTCACTCTGATGAGATGCGAATGACCATGGTGCCGATGTCATTGTGTTTGCTCAGAATCACGGGAAAACGCTTGGAAATATCCCAGACACAGGTGCCTGGAAAACAAAAGACAGAAGCATTACCTCTAGAGCCAGCTACATTTAGATGTCTCACTACAGAGTCTCCAATTATAAGAACACTCTCCTGACTCTCTGTCCGAGGCTCTGAGGCAGAACTTAGGGCTTCAAACCGGTTACTGGAGGTGAAATCCAGTGGAGGAGGGTTTGGTGAACCTTTCTTTTCTCTAGTCATTCTGGTTTTCCCAGCTCTGCTCCACTGCGGGGTGAAGATGGGAAATCCCAGTGTAAGCCCTGGATTCCTATCTGCATTCATAGCAATGGTCTACACTCCCCCAGCACAAACGCCAGGAAGGCTCTCTGCAAGCTGTATAGAGCCATCACTGAACTTCAGAACACACATCCAGACAAACTGTTCATTGTCACTGGAGATTTTAATCTCAGGTCAGTGCTCCCAAAATTCCATCAGCATGTGGGTGAGATGGGGCGAACACACTGGACCTTGTTTACACCAATATTTCTGATGCATACCAGGTGGAGCTTCACCCCCATCTTGGTTACTCAGACCACATTTCTGTATTGCTGATTCCCTCATACAGACCGCTTGTCAGATGCTCCAAACCAATCCAGAAGCTGGTGAAAACCTGGCCAGCAGGAGCCAGATGTGCTGAATGACTTCTATGTATGGTTTGAGGTACAGAACAATGTGGCAGTGAGAAAGACTACCCCTCCACCCAGCAATCAGAGTCAATTCATGAAAGGCTGCTGGGGCAGACAACATTCCTGGCCAAGTGCTCAGAGAATGTGCAGACCAGCTAGGGGATGTTCTCACAGCCATCTTTAACATCTCACTAAGCTGCGACATTGTTCCAGTGTGCTTGAAGGCCACCACCATTGTCCCCGTGCCAAAGAAATCTCCAGTGTCTTGCCTGAATGACTAACATCCCATTGCACTCATACCCATCATCACAAATTGCTTTGAGAGGCTCATAATGAGGCACATCAAGACCTAGCTCCCTCCTTTGCTGGACCCCCTGCAGTTCGTATATCACTCCAACCGCTCTACAAATGATGTCATAGTCACCAATCTTCATCTGGCCCTTACTCATCTTGAGAAAAAAGACACTTATGTTAGGATGCTGTTCATACACTTCAGCTCAGCTTTCAACACCATCATCCCTCAGCATCTCATTGGAATGCTGAGCCTGCTGGGCCTGAACACTTCTCTCTGCAATTGGACCCTGGACTTTCTCACTGAGAGACCTCTGCCAGTCCAGATAGGGAGAAGCATCTCTAACACCATCACACTGAGCACTGAAGCCCCCCAGGGCAGTGTACTTAGTCCACTGCTGTTCACTCTGCTGACTCCAGACTGTTTGGCAATTCACAGTTCTAACCACATCATGAAGTTTGCTGGTGACACTACTGTGGTTGGTGTCATCAGGCATCAGTTTGTTGACTTCAGGAGAGCACAGAGTGACCACTCTCCACTCACCATCAACAACTCCCCTGTGAAGATGATTTCAAGCACCAAGTTCCTTGGTGTTCACCTAGCAGAGAACCTCACCTGGACCCTGAACACCAGCTTCATAACCAAGAAAGCCCAGCAGCGTATCTATTTTCTGCGGAAGTTAAGGAAAGCTCATCTCCCACCCACCATCCTTACCACCTTCTACAGAGGCACTATAGAGAGCATCCTGAGCAGCTGCATTACTGCCTGGTTTGGGAATTGCACTGCCTCCGACCGCAAGACCCTCCCAGAGAATAGTGAGGACAGCTGAAAAGATCATCGGGGTCTCTCTTCCCTCCATCATGGACATTTACACCACACATTTCATTCGAAAAAGACACTAGCATTATGAATGACCCCACACACCCCTCACACCAACTGTTCACTGTTCTGCCATCTGGAAGAAGGTACTCTCACAGGCATTCAGGCCCTCACAGCCAGACTCAACTTCCACAGACTGAATTGAAGGACACCCACACAGACACACACATACATATAACAATGTGAGACTACCTGACTCTCCACTTCTTGCACTTTCAGATTATGTCTGGAACACTGTATTTAAATGTAATAACTGCATTACACTGAAATACTTGACCTAATATAATTCATATCTGACTACTTACATGTTTGCACTTTAAATTTCTTTAACTAAATTGGCAGCTAGAATTACTGTATCAACCAAATACTGTATTATGTTGCTGTTGTTCTGGCTACTATGCTCTAATATGCTAGGATATCTGGTAAGCTGCTAATATGTCATAGTATGTTACATTCTCCTTTGCACAGCTCCACATACACAGTACCATGTGCTGCCTGTGTTCTGTTTTGTATTTATTGTTATTTCATATTTATTTATTGTACTGTATTGTCTGCACTGTGTATATTGTATTGTCTTGCATTGTGTTCCTGTGTTGGTCCTGGAGGAATGTTGTCTCATTTCACTGCATACTTTTATATAGCTGGAATGACAATAAAGCCTCTAGAACTTGAAATTGAAATTGAATTTCCTTTGTTTTTTTTATCACGAATATTCATTCTGCCTTGTGAGTGGTTTGAGAGGTCACATGATGTAAGAAGTAAGAGGAAGTTGTGTTGCTGTGGAAGAACAACAACAATGAGATCTTGAGGCTTGAGCATTAAAAAATGGTGCTAGAGGAGTATCCGTCTCCATCCAAACAGCCTCATGAACCATGCCCTTAGAATATTACTACTATTATTATTATTTAGAAAAGTAAGAAACATAATACAGTTCAGATGAGTCTGTAAATCTGAGCTGTGGATTACAAGTGATATGAATCTGCAGTAGATAAAGATCAGTTCAGTAGGTTTTTACTGAAGTCTTAACTAACAGATTAACTTTCTGACCTGATGACTTAAATATTTCTCTGTAACAACCTGATGAGGCAGGGCTGAATCTGAGACAGTGATTTTGGAGTGGAGTAACTGTGTGTCCTGCTCTGTTTCTCTGTATGTGTCTGTTTGCAAGGTTCCAGCTGTAACCTGTAGCAGGAAATATGGGCTCCAAAATGAGTTCCTCTGGAGAACAGCACACAGAGAAACACCAGAGGTGAGAGAATAGTGTAACACTGTGAACACAGATGAAAGCTGATGAAGTGTGTGTGGCCCATATCCCAATTGCTCTATCCTGTTCCCTATTTTCTCCTTCATTTACTTTTATTATGTTTCCAATATTTTTGCTTAGTTGTCTTACTTGATTTTAATACTTTGTAAAATGAACTTGATAAGTAAACTTTAAATTCTTCTTCTTCTTCTTCTTCTTCTTCTTCTTATTATTATTATTATTATTATTAACATACAACATGAATGGCTCTGACAGTATCTGTTTTCCACCACTGTGTTTTATCTAATCCAGAGAAAAAAAAAATACTCACCTGAACCCAGCTGTGTGTCCATGAAAAGTGTCCAGTCAGTGGACTTTACAAAACATTCAGAGTGTTATCAGTTAAAGGGCCCATATAAATGTTTCTTTACTGATATATACAGGTATTAGCGCTGTCCCTGAATGTGTGTACATGAAATATGACCAGACTAAGGATAAGACAGTGTAATTTAGAAAGAGAGTTATATTAAGCTTAGGTGAAGATTCATAAACTATATGCTTCTTACACATGAATAAAGGCTAACATCCAGTTAACTAAATGTGACACAACAGTGAAGGGAATATAACAGACACGCTCTACTCCTTACTTTCTTCTTTTTTACTTATCAACATCTTTCCTCTAGACCAACTAAACACAAGAGATCAGACTCACCTGAACCCAGCTGTGTGTCTATGAAGAGTGACCACTCAATGGGGGAACCAAATAACTTCAAAGAGACAGACAGGCCTTCTACTGTGAGGTCAGGATGATATAAGAAATGTAACTCTGAGATATCAAGATGTTTTAAGCCCACTTCATGTACACATGAATTATGTGTACATGAAGTATGCATGGCATATTCATTAAAAGTACAGTAACACTCCATTAGAAGTACATAATTTTGAAACCTCTGGAAATCCTTGCACTTCCTTGCTTAACTGGTCTGGTGAAATGCACTAGAAAGATTTCCCTGTTGTATTCCACTGTGAAAACCCCTCAGAAGACTGGCCTACAATGCTGTCCCTCATCTTTGTACTCCTTTTGTGAATATCTGCCTGTTTCTTACGGCAATCTCTTACAAAATGACCAGTTTTATGACAGTAATGACACTTATCTTTCTGACTAAAGAAATTCTGATTGGAACCTGAGTTAGAGTTGTTTACTGTAAGGACATGTATGGATGCTGGCACATGGCCTGGCTCTAGATCAAGGTCCAATCTGTTAAATTCATTTTTAAGGCCACCCCATTTAACTTTACACCAAATTTGGAACAGCTGTCACTTGTCTAAGATCTGATCTTAGTTAGTCGACTAGTTGTCCAAAATGTGGACCATCAGTGGTACCATCAATGCTATCACAGTTTTAGGTATCAATTCCACAACAACACAGAAAAACTCTTTCAAACTATTCACAGTACTCTGCAGCTGATTCCTCTTACCTTGGTCTACAATTGATTACCTGCTTCTAGTCAGTGAAACTGAAAACTTTCCACCTTACATCAATATCCTGGCCACTGTCACTCAAACCATCTAACACCTTTTTAACAAGCTTCCTACTATTAGTCATGTTGAGGACTTGGATCGCTATGGCTACAGTGTCATTACAATGCAATAAGTGAAGGTCTCTTTTTTTCAATAAGATCTATAAAGTTAAGTCCTATTTCCCTTGGGTGTTTGAATTCTTTAGACAGTTTGTCCAATGTGGCTGCAGCTAAAGGAATGTGGCCGATCTGTACTCAGGTTTCCTTAGCTTCACTTCTCTTATTAAGCACTTCAGAAGATCTTATAGTAATTGGTCTCGTCTCTACTGTCTTATCACTAGTAGGTTCAGAATCCTTGTCAGAGGAGGAGGATTCTGATCCATCAGAGTGGATTGCATCCAAAATGCTAGGTTCTTACCAGTGACACTAAGCAAACTTCCCTTGTTTCAGAGGGGCTAACTTTTACTGAGTCCTCTATCTTATAAAGCCAGAATTTCTCTTTAGTTTGAAAATGGCATTTTTACTCACCAAGTAGGTTTCAGTATGCCATCCGCAGCACGGCACCAAGTTGTTAGAAATTTGGCAGGAAGAGTCAGGAGACGGGAGCTTCAGCATTGACTGGAGATTATTTACATATACAGAGAATCATGTATGGGTACACAGTGGTCGATCAACAGTCAATCAGTAGTGTCAGTAGTCTAACAAAAATATTTTGGAAGGGCCTTATATACATTGAAAAACTAAGAAGGAGGAACAAAAGGACTTTGAGGACGGGTAAGGAGGGGTTGTAGAATGAGGATATGAACAGAGATGTAGGGGTATAAATAAGGGGAGGTGATTGTTATCACCTCAAGGTCCTTAAGGTCATGCAACGAAGGGTCATTTCAATGTAAACAAAGGAGGAAGAGGACAAGCTAAGAGTGTGACAGTTGTCACTTCTCTGCAAGCAAAAGGCCATCTGCTAAAACTCTACAACAAACTTGGTTAAGACTATAAGAAAATAACAAAAAAGAGAATAACATGTTGAGAGAATAACATTAGAAAGGAAAATAACATATGGTGACAATATTTTCTCTCAGAGTGTTATTCTACTGGTAATGAATGTGCCATAAATGCTTCATGAACATGTAGGTTGTGTAGACTTTTATTTCAGTGCTATCCATCTGTCCTATATTATAGTTCAGTTTGTCTGTACATATTATTTGTTCTGGTTTGTATATAGGTTTTAATCTTAACTGATGGTGGAATTAATTTTGAACTGTTCATGTTTTTCTTTTGGCTTATATTGTTGGTTTTGCTTTATCATGTTCCCCATTTTCTCCTTCATTCACTTTTATTTTACTTTTCTAATGTTTTTTTGCTGTATTGTCTGGCTTGATTTTAATGCATTGCAAAGTGACTCTGACAGTATTTTTTTCTCCACTATTGTGTTTTAATCTGATCCAGAAACAGATATTCACATGAACCCAGCTGTGTGTCCATGAAAGTGTCCACACAGTGGATCTTACAAAATATTTTACAAAGTGTTATCAGTTAAAGGGCCCATATCGTACATTTTCCTTTATTGATACAGACAGTAGAGCTGCTCCCTGAATGTGTGTACATAAAATATGATCAGTCAAGGGACAAGCGAGTATAATTTAGAGAGAGAGTTATTTTAAGCTTAAGTGAATATTTATAAACTGCTTCTTACACATGAATAAAGCTTAATATCAATTGAACTAATTGTGACAACAGTGCAGGGAACAATATAGGCATGCTCTACTCCTTACTTTCTTCTTTTTACATTTACTTATCAACATCTTTCCTCTAGACCAACTAAACGCAAGAGATCAGACTCACCTGAACCCAGCTGTGTGTCCATGAAGAGTGACCAGTCAATGGGGGGGCAACTACATAACAGGTCTCCTGCTGTGAGGTAAGGATGATGTAAGAAATTTTGAATCCTGAGAAATCAAGACGTTCTAAGCCCAGGAGGAACAGACTGTTAACAGAACACTCATAACTAAAGGAACAGTTATTTGATTGTATTTATGCTACTGTTTTTTCCAGAACTGCCAAGATAAATGACATCATTTATATTCTCAGATGCTTAAAACTGTATATACATAAATATAAAACAAAACTGAACTGAAAACTTGGTAGCACTTTTCAGGAAATACATGTACATTAAAATAAAAAAATAAAAAAATAATGACCAAGCCTTCTTAAATGACCTGGTGAATGTTTTCATCTTAATTGTTGGTAAAATTCATTTTTGACCTGTTCATGTTCTTCTTTTGGCTTATATTGTTGGTTTTGCTTTATGATGTTTCCTATTTTGTCCTTCATTTACTTTTATTTTACTTTTTAAATATTTTTGTGTCTTATTGTCTTGATGTTGATGCTTTGCAAAGTGATATTGAAAATTAAAGTTTCAATTATTATTATTATTATTATTATTATTATTATTATTATTATTATACAGTAATGGCTCTGTAACTGGCCTGGAACACCTAGATGGCTAGAATGACTAGAACTGGCATAAAACACAGAGACGTTGCAAGGAAACAGGCTTAACAAATGGATATACATAGGAGTCTTAATGAGTCCAAAATTAACTGCAGGTGTGTAAAGTGGAGGACTGGGTGGATGAAGAGTAGAGAAAACAAAAGCATATGGCCTAGCCATATGCACTACCACGCAGGCCCAGGAGGAGGTAGTTTGTAACATTCTGATAATGTCTTTTCTCCACCACTGTATTTTAGTCAGATCCAGAAACTGAAAACATACTCACCCAGTTGTGTGTCTATGAAAAGTGAGTAGTCAATGAATCAGATCAGATCTGGATCAGTTCAGAGAGGGATATTGTTCTCCTGCTGTATAATGCAGAGAGAATATAACAGTAATGTGGAGATTTATACCTGGAACTGAGTGTAATGTAGAGAATATAACAGTAATGTGGAGATTTATACCTGGAACTGAGTGTAATGTAGAGAATATAACAGTAATGTGGAGATTTATACCTGGAACTGAGCGTAATGTAGAGAATATAACAGTAATGTGCAGATTTATACCTGGAACTGAATGTAATGTAGAGAGAATATAACAGTAATGTGGAGATTTATACCTGGAACTGAGTGTAATGTAGAGAGAATATAACAGTAATGTGGAGATTTATACCTGGAACTGAGCGTAATGTAGAGAATATAACAGTAATGTGGAGATTTGTGACGTATCAACAGAAACCAGACGCTCGCGGAAGCAAAAGATGCTGGCGTTTAATAATACTAGGCGAACAAACCGAAAAAGGGCAGAGCAAAAGACAAAGTCAAAAATACAGGCAAAAAGTTCCAAAACACAGATCAGTCCGTAGAGGCAAAAGCACAAAAGGGAAAAGACAAAAAGGCAGAGTCGATATACACAAAGCAAAGGTTCAAACACGGGATAAAGGCAGTCAGTATACAAACGCTCGGTAGTTCAACAGGAAACAATACCTCGCACTGAATTAGACTAAAGCCCGGGCTTATAAAGTAAACTACACAGGTGCTGCCAGTTAATATTCAGGTGATTTGGAGCGCTGATTGGAACATAAGCCAGTGTCAGAAGTCACGTGATCTCCCATAGAATTGTGGGCAATGGAGTCCGAGTCGGAGTCGGAGTCCGAGGGAAGTTGCTGAGTCATGTGATCTCCCAGAGGATTCTGGGAGATGAAGTCCGTTTCTTTCAGAGAGTTCACCGAATGCGTGACAAGATTTATACCTGGAACTGAGTGTAATGTAGAGAATATAACAGTAATTTGATGATTTTTTTTTTCCTGGAACTATGATAAAATGTTATTTAAATAGCTGTCTATAATTTACTATTCTTATATATTTCATTGATCTCTTTGTACTGTTTTCTGTGTATTCCCCAAATAACAGTATCCAAAAGGAGAAATTAATAATTACCAACATGAATCATCTGGACTCCATATATACGGTGAGTGTGTACCAAACACTCTGTTTGATGTTTCTGTTTTATGCTTTTTTGTTAACGTAGTAAGATCTTAGTAAATAAACAGTTCAATCCTCTATTATCACCATTATATTTAATCACACTGATTTGTAGTTTAATCTGTGATAATAATCAGTGACTCTCCATCATATTATAAAATCATAAAATCATCTCTCTCTGTAAGATAATGGTGTTATATGATTTTCTTTTTATTGTTTATTCCAAATCAGGATCTGGAGCACAAAATAATTTCTCTGGTGAAGAAAGAGCTGATGAGGTTCAAGAAGCTGCTGAGTGCAGATTACCCAGCATGCTCTGAGAGAGAGGTGGAGGATGAGGAGGATCAGAGCAGTTCCAGAGAGGGGGTGCTGATGATCACACTGAACATGCTGTGGAACATGAAGCAGACAGACCTCGCTAACACACTACAGAGCAGTAAGAACTGTGGGCGGGGCTTTATTACATCACTGTAACTTTAGAGGAAGAACACTGATCCACACTTAGCACACTTCTCAGATTAAGAGAGCTGATCTAGAACAAGTTTTTACCTTTCATATACTAATAAGTGCAGTTATATGGACAGGAAGGAGTTGATACTAGATCAGCACTCTGACATGTTAAATAGAATAAAGAGGAAGTGCTGTATCTGCACAAACCGGTTATGTGTAATTCTACAATTTTAGCTTTTCAAATTTGTTTTAATTTCTGATTATGGATCATAAATTAGCAGTTTAGTGGAGTTTAAAAATAATATTAAATTTAGTACTCCTATATTAAAATGTTTATCATTGCCTTTTTGTTCTGTTCATTAGAACTAGTCTCTGCGTATCAGAAAAAACTCAAATCTAAACTGAAGGAAAAATTTAACAGAATTAATGAAGGAATCTCACAGCATGGAACATCAACTCTTCTGAATGAGATCTACACAGAGCTCTACATCACAGAGGGAGGGAGTGGAGAGATCAATAATGAACATGAGGTCAGACAGATTGAGACAGCATCCAGGAGACCAGCAACACAGGAGAAACCCATAAAATGCAATGACCTCTTTAAAGACAAATCCATCAGAACTGTGCTGACTAAAGGAGTTGCTGGAATTGGAAAAACAGTCTCTGTGCAGAAGTTCATTCTGGACTGGGCTGAAGGAAAAGCAAATCAGGATGTCCACTTCATATTTCCACTTCCTTTTAGGGAGCTGAACTTGATGAAAGAGAGACAGCTCAGTCTGATGGAGCTTCTTTATCAGTTTTTTCCAGAAATAAAAGAAATAAGATCAATACACTGTGAGGCTTACAAAGTCATATTCATCTTTGATGGTCTGGATGAGTGTCGACTTCCTCTAGATTTTCAGAACAATGAGAGCTTGTGGGATGTAACAGATTCAGCCTCAGTTGATGTGCTGCTGACAAACCTCATCAAGGGGAATCTGCTTCCATCTGCTCTCCTCTGGATAACCTCTCGACCAGCAGCAGCAAATCAGATCCCTCCTGAGTGTGTTGACCTGGTAACAGAGGTACGAGGGTTCAGTGACCCTCAGAAAGAGGAGTACTTCAGGAAGAGAGTCAGTGACCAGAGCCTGGCCAATAAAATCATCTCACACATGAAGTCCTCAAAAAGCCTCTACATCATGTGCCACATCCCAGTCTTCTGTTGGATTGCAGCCACTGTTCTAGAGAGAATGTTGGGTGAAGCAGAGAGTGGAGAGATCCCCAAGACTCTGACTCAAATGTTCTCACACTTCCTGATCTTTCAGATCAAACACAGGAATCAAAAGTACCATGGGAAATGTGACACTGATCCTCAGCAGACTAGAGAGATGATTCTGGCTCTGGGAAAACTGGCTTTCCAACAGCTGGAAAAGGGCAATCTGATCTTCTATGAGGAAGACCTGAGACAGTGTGGCATTGATGTCAGAGAAGTGTCAGTGTACTCAGGAGTTTGTACTCAGATCTTCAGAGAGGAGTTTGGGCTGCACCTGGGGAAGGTGTTCAGCTTTGTGCACCTGAGTGTTCAGGAGTTTCTGGCTGCTTTATATGCATTTCTGTCCTTTATCAGCAAGGATGAAAAAAAACAGCTGAACACTGATCTCTCTTGTATTTTCAGAGAGTCCAAAATGTCAGACTTCCTCAAGGATGTAGCGGACAAAGCCTTACAGAGTGAGAATGGACACCTGGACCTTTTCCTCCGCTTCCTTCTGGGCCTCTCACTGGAGTCCAATCAGACTCTCTTACAAGGCCTACTGACACAGACAGGAAGCAGCTCTCACAGCAAAAAGGAAACAGTCCAGTACATCAAGGAGAAGATCAGGGAGAATCCCTCTCCAGAGAAATCCATCAATCTGTTCCACTGTCTGAATGAACTGAATGATCATTCTCTAGTGCAGGAGGTTCAAACATACCTGAACAGAGGAGGTTATTACAGTTGTCTAAGTGGAGTCAGTCTCTCTCCTGCCCAGTGGTCAGCTCTGGTGTTTGTGTTGATGAACTCAGAAGAGGAGCTGGATATATTTGACCTGAGTAAATACGACAGATCAGATGAATGTCTTCTAAAGCTGCTACCAGTGATCAAAGCCTCCAGAAGAGCTAAGTAAGTATTTATAATCATAATCGTGTTACTGCATTGTTTATTAATTTAAGGATAATGCTACACTGATCAGAATAATGCTTTTCATTAGCTACACTAATTGGCATTAAACACACTACTGATAGTTTTATAGATGAGCATATGTGCTTTATATAATTTATTGTTAGTCATGCTTCTTCACTTGGTCATATAATTATTAAAATACATTCAATTAATTCAGTTATAATAACAGCTGAAATAATTATCAACAAATCAGTATCATTAATTAAACAGAAAATTAACATTAACAAATAAATGTATATTTTTTTCTAAATTAACATATCATTCATGAATATCACAATCTTTAATGTCTTATTAAAAGTATTATTAATGACTCTGTTTCTCAAAGTTGTACAATAAATGTGATTTTTTAAATCAATATTTGAATATTAAAAGTGAACACTTTGTAAAATTAAATATTTATTAACACATTATCTCTAAGACACAGATAAGTGAATCAAAAACCAGCATATTTACAGTGTAAAGAAGCTAAACAGCAGAGAGAAAACTCTGTGTATGTGTGTGTGTGTGTGTGTTTGTGTGTGTGTGTGTGTGTGTGTGTTTGTGTGTGTGTGAGAGAAAGACAAAGAAAGATACAGAGACAGAAGAAATGAAGGAAAGAGACATAGATAGAGAAAGAAAGAGTGAGAGAGAGTGATTATGAGAGAGAGAGAGAAAGAGAGAGGGAGAGAAAGACAAAGAAAGAAAGAGACATAGAGTCAGAAAGAGTGAGAGATTAAAGCTTAACAAATGAGAGGAAACCAAAACACTAATGTCTTTTGAAAAATAAAATATCACTTTTTCATTTATTTATTTCTTTTGTTTGCTTTGCTTCTATTCTTTTTCTTTTCTACGACTGTGAGTAAAATAAAAGAAAATGACAAGTTTTCCATCTTGGCTTTTGTTTATACTTATGCTGAGAGCTTTAACTCAAGAAGGACCAAAGACACTGAATTCAAGAGAGCAATACAAAGGGTTACCAAGACACATATGCATGTGGCAGTGTGAACTCAAGAGTGAGCGGAAAGCTACTTGTGAGCTCTTCTTAAGAAGGATGTTTCACAGTTGACAATAGTCAGCCCTAACCAGTCAGTTCCAGCTCCCTTCCTCTCCCTGATGGCCATGGGTGGCTTAGCTAGAACATCACAAACAACAGTTTATCAAAGTATTCTTGATCCCATGTGGTGATATCCATCACGGAAACATGCCGGTTTTTAATGCAGTGCTGTCTGAGGGGTTGAAGGTCTTGGGCATTCAGTTGAGGGTTTGGCCTTGCTTTTTATGCGCAGTGATTTCCCCAGATTCACTGAATTTTTTGATGATATTATGCAACATAGCGGGTGAAATACATAAAATCCTTGAAATCACTTGCATAGGAATGTTATTCTTAAACTTTTGGATTTTTTACTGGTGCATTTTTGGCAAAGTGGCCTAAACCCATCCTTGCTTCTAAAGGACTCAGCTTTTCCTGAAGGCTCCTTTTATGCCAAAGCGTGATTACATCACCTTTTTCAAAATATTTTTGAACATTTCACAATATTTCTTAAATTGCTCCTGTCTTAAACTTTTTAGAACATGATAAAGTCATTAGTTTCAGAGGGAGTGTATATTTACAATAAAACAAAGATCCATATATATTTTCTCTATCTACGCCAGGTGTGACTCTGTAATACTTTTAATGTACTGTAGCCTGTGAGGTGATTGTTCTGTTTTAATGGATGAAAATCGCAGTTATTTTGTTAGGAATCTCAGGTAAAAGAATGAGTTCACTGTTTTTTAACTATTAATAATTTCTTTTATTAGTGCAATGGACGACTTTATGACTCAGTCAGGTAATGTTCAGACTGAAAACCATGGCTATTGATGACTTAGAGCCTTCTCTGGAATTACTCCCACTCTGACTGGACAGGAACAGTTAGAGCACTGGATGGAACAGACCACTTTGCTGATAGAGGAGAGTAATTGTCCTGACAAAGTGAAAAGAAACAGAGGATAATGGAAAGCTTGAAGGATATTCCTCTTGAAATTGTCAGACTTTGTTATCTGAAATTGTCAGAAGAAACTGTCTCCATAATTTCCTAGACTTGCTTAGTGAGATTAGTGCAGAAAAAGAATATGAAAGGCTTCACCTTAAAATACATTCACACGTGCATCAGGTGAGAGCTTAAGAAGATGCAGAGACAGAGTTACAATGCAGAGCCTCAAATCAGAGCTAAAGAACATCTAAATGGCGAATTTAGCAGAAAAACCCAGAGATAATGTGAGTGATGTCAAATCTACTTTACTGCCTGATGTGTATACAGGTACTAAGGATGACTCATCAGAGGTTTCAGCCCTCAATAAAAATATTAACATAGTGAAACAAAAGGTCAAGAACCTGGTGGGGAGGAAGAATGAGCCTGTGACTTCAGCCACCAGTGCCAAAGTAGATATAACCAAGTACCACAGTCAAGCAGATAAAAAAACAGGTGAGTGGCAAAGAAGGAGAACAATGTGGGGTAGACAGAGACTTTCCCGGGAATGAAAAGAAAGTAATCCAGAAACCGATTGCCTCCTTGCATAGACAAGCATACCTCTTACAAGAGTGACACTACAGACAAAGAGTGTTACTGTTCTGTGTGAAAACAGGCTGTGAGCTCGATAGGTTCTATTTCAGTGACCGAAGCACTGATAGGTCTAACCCTTAGGGCCAGATAAGATAAATGGTCACCCCTATACAGCCTTTTTAGATAGTGGGTCACAAATCACTATTATTTTTGAAGATTGGTATGAACAACACTTATTCCATGTCCCAATCCAACAAGTGTCCAGTTTACCAATTTGGGGCCTTATCAATTCTAGCTATTCATACAAGGGTTATGTGGTAGTGGACATCCAGTTTACAAAAGAGTTCACAGGTGCCCCTGAGACATTATCAATATTGGTGCTTGTTTGTCCTGGTCCCAAAACACCAGACCAGTTCCAAGTGATTGGAGACAGAAGATTGGTAGTAGAAGACATGTATTCTCTCTGCATGAATGGGGAGTTGACCTTGCAAAAGTAGAGCATTCCATCTGCCTATCAGATCCCAAACCATTCTGTGAGCATTCCCAGCGTATAGCACCTGCCAACATGGATGATGTAAGAAGACATCTTCAGAATCTTTTGACAGCAGGCATAAGCAAAGATTTCCAAAGCCTTGATTTGCACATAAAAAAGCAGCAGCATTTCTATGTGCATTGACCACAGGACTCTAAACAGTAAGACCATCCTGGACCAGTACACCATGTCACACATTGACAATGCCTTGGACTGTTTGGTGGGGAATCAGTGTTTTTTATTGTTGGTTCTGTGTAACAGCTACTACTACATAGCCATGGTGGAACAAGACAAAGAGAAGACTGCTATCATTTGCCCTTTGGAGTTTTACCAATTTAAGAGAATGATGCAAGGGGTCAAAGGGGTGCCTGCAACCTTTCAGCGGTTAATGGAGAAGGTAGTAGGTGATGTGTACCTCCCCCCAAGTACTGGTGTATTTGGATGATTTAATTGTTTTTGGTGCTGCCTTAGAGGAGCATGGGGAGAGACTCCTCAAAGTCTTGGACTGAATGGAGGAAGTAGTTTTTAAAATTTTACTGGACAAGCGCCAATTTTGTCAGTCTAGAGTTAAATATGTGGGATGCATTGTATCAGTGGAGGATGTTGAGACTTACCCTAACAAGATTGAAAACTCAATGGACCCAGCCAACAGTCCTAAAGTCCTTCAGGTCATTTCTGGGATTTGGAGCTATTATTGCTGTTTTATTGCTGGCTACTCCTCTATTGTCAAGCCCATGACTGACTAAAGGGTAGCTCCCTGCTGGGAAAGTGTCAAAATGCAAACTTGTAGGTGACAGCCCAAAGTGCCAAGTTTATTCTCAGGAGTCAGAACCTTTCAGTGAAAGATGCACCAGATTGTTCTGTGAAATAATGAGAGTGCCTTCAGAGGGAATTCCCACTCTGTATGTTTTACCTACTCTGCTGGAGTTGGGACAGCTGGAGCAGAAGACATGAGAAAAGCTGATGATGCTGTCATCAGAGACGTCATAGGATTTGTATGTATGGGTGAATGGTCTGTGGAGGTGAGACAGTTACATCCAGAAGTGGCATTGTTGATTTCTTATGCCTTGAGCCAGATATAAAAAGATTTTCCAATATACTACAACAACAGACCATTTTAGCCACTATGCCCAGGCTTATCCAACCAAGGATCAGAGAGCTGTGACTGTGGCCAAAGTTTTGGTGGAGATTCTTTATCCACTATGGTTTGCCAGTGCACATTCATTCTGATCAAGTTTGAGACTTTGAGAGCAACCTGATATGAGCTTCTGAAAATACTGGGGATTAGCAAGTCAAGCACCATGCCCTACCATCCCCAGGGTGGTCCCCAGTGTAAAAGACAGGACATTGTTTTCCATGTTAGGGACACAGGAATCCACCCAGAAAAGTCAGTGGAGTCAACACAGAAGTCAACTTGTGCATGCATACAACAGCACCAAGAGTGACTCAACTGGCTACACTCCTGACCACCTCATGTTTGATAGAGAAGCCAGGCTTCCTGTCGACATATGCTTTGGAACAGAAAAAAAAGAGAGGGAATCAGTTACTTCTGCTATGTATAGAACCTGCAGAAAGATTTGTGAAGTGCCTACAAACTAGCTGAAAGATCTGCAAAACAAGTGCATCTGAGAAACAAGAAACTGTATGAGAAACTTCTGCAATCCCCAAGTGCTAGAAACTGGTAACAGAGTGCTTTTGAAAAAAAAATGGGCCTTAAAGGCAAATGTAAGTTGCCGAGTAGATGGAAATCGTTTCTGTATGTCGTAGTGGAGAAGATTCCTGACATGCTCGTGTATCATGGGAAACCTAAAAGTGAGATGGGAAAAGCAAGAACTCTACATCACAACCATCTTTTGTCCATTGGAGGTCTGGTTAGACTACCAGAC